CTCCAGTAAAGCAAGCACTTAGTCGCATTACAAAATTTGTGTGGGAGAGGGGGCGGCGTCAGGTTCCTGTGGTGGCAGTAGTGGTCACACTTGCAGGTAGCAGCCCGGAGCGGGAAAAAGGACTCTGATCCAGTGTTGCCACTTTTCTTTGACAAAAAAGATCCAAAACAGGGTAAAAAAATATCTAAAAAGATCTAAATTTGCGTGGAAAATATTTAAAAAAAATATCTAAATTAAAAGAGTCACAAATTACAAAACTATTGAAATGACTTACCCTATAGACACATGTCCTTATCTTCACTGATGTCTGCTTCACAAGATCCACAGGATAAACTTAGCTTGGATGGTGAAGTTGAAGCTTCAGATCCCAAATTACTCTGGTATGCTTTAGCTGTTCCTATTTCTTTTAATACACAATCAGGGAGCTGATAAGTGGAACAGCATTTTCCTACTCTCATCAGGCCAAACTTTATTGTCAAGATAGCATTTAAGAGGTCTAATTTCATCCTGTTTCTTAGGTTAGATTTGATGTAATTCATAGCACTGAAAACTCTTTCTACGTCAGCATTTGAGTGGGGTAGTATCATGGCAGACATGGCACATTCAAAGAGTTCACAGAATGGACTGTTTGATGAGGCATCTTTAAATTGTCTCACTTCACTCCAAAACGCTTCAGTTTCTGTTTTGTTTGTCCATTCAACTAAGTTTATTTTGGTTAACTGATATTCTGCTCCCGCGACACTATTGTCAGTAGCCCCTAAAAATTTCATAACTTTACAATATTTAGGTATGTCCTTTACTGGCTGAAGTATGTTGCTCACAGAAAAGAGTGAAATATTTTTCAAAACATCTAGATTTTCAGGAAGTCTCTGCTTTAGTTGCTTGAACAATGAGATAAGGAAATCTTGACAGCGTTTTCTTAAGTTGTTCTCTTCATTCTCTGTTAACAGTCCTTTTGTTTTTAAATCATCAATTTTTGATTCAATTTGATATCCAAGGTATGGCTTAGGAGCCAAATAGCTCTCTATAGTGCAAGTGAGCAAATCAACTTTTGAAGTTGGCAACACCAGTCTTTTACCAACTGAGTAAAATAGCAAAGTGAGATCGTCAAGTAATTTAACTTTATCAACATGTTTGGATTCGAACAGTTTATTAACTTTTTGCACTTCCATTAGAATAGGTTGTAAAAAGAGAAGGAATGCCAATTTTTTTTCATCACTGTACATTCCATATAGTATCTCAGCTGTGTAGCACTTTTCACTTTGTCTTGTTATTTCAAAGTGTGTCTTTAACTCCAACCATTGGTTCACAATTCTTTCAACAGCTGGTTGTATTGATAACCACCTGGTTTTGCAATCTGACAGAATTTTCAGTGGTGTGGAACCATTATTTAAGGCTGAATACAATGCATTGTATTGCTGTTGTCTGACAAATGATTTTGAAAACCAGTTATGTGTTTCAGCAATAAGGTATTCCAAATTCCTTGGTAAACATTCAGATGAAGCATGTGATAATGCTAGCTGCAATGAATGACACATACATTTTATAAGTATTAACGATGGGATAGCTTCCTTCAACTTGGCATAAACGCCATTGTTTATGCCAACCATCACTGAGGCATTATCGGTACCAATTGCAACCAAATTTGTCAAGTCTAACTGTTTGCTGATTAAAAGGTTCTTCAGTTCTTGAACTATACTTTCTGCATCACACTTTTCCAATTGAACTAGTCCAAGATATGTAGAAACTACTTTGTCTGTATTGTTGCTGTAATATATAATACACACACCAAGCACTTTCAGTACCGAAATATCATTGGATTCGTCTAATAATAAACTATATTTATTTGTAGAAATATCACTGATCAAATCTTTTTCGAAGTGAGAAAATAAAGTATTTCTTATAATATGTGTACACTTGCTGCGATGCATTTTCACATCATCCATAACTTTACTGTCAGAAATTGTGTTTTTAAACAAATCAATCAAATGGTCACAGTTTGAAATTGCACAATGGCAACTTAAAAACATTGCGACCGACCCTTCAACTTTTGATGATTCATTTATCAGTGTAGTTCTGAAAACAGATGTCAGCGGTGTATTATCTTTGAATGGAACTGCAGTTTTATGCTTGTTAGTCTCTGCATGCTTCTTTAAGTCTTGTATTTTCGCTTTAATTTCACACTTGCAGTACTTACAACGAGCCTTGGTTATATCCCCAGGAACTGCCATCACCCAGTCTTTAATTTTGTCATCATGCAAATACTCTTTCCGAAATTTTTGCTCATACTTTACTTTTGGCATGTTGAAAGGTTTTTTCAAAGTGAAAGCCACACAAGAAGGTGAGCAATTATTTTTTAAAAATCACATGAAAAAGAAACACAGAGTCAGCATCACAGCTATACTTCACAACACAGTGAGGATACGGTTGAAACAAAGTTAGTATGATTTACGCGCGATTTCGATTAATCAGCACCGGGGTTGTCAGATATTTGAGTGTTGACCTTAGTGAGAGTTCAAAGTTTAAGTAATGGCAGTTGCCACAATGTACGTGCCAGACCAAAACAAAAATATTTTAGTAAATATTTTACTCAATAATTATTAAAATGACACTAAAAGAAAAAAAAATCTATAAAATATCTAACTCCATATGAAAAGAATCTAGAAAAATATTTAGTATCTAAACGTCAAAAACAGGATCTAAACGCAGTGAAAAAGATCTAAATTTGGATACAAAAGATCCAAAGTGGCAACACTGCTCTGATCTGACCAGATGTTTAGCACATGAACCGGAAGTAGTTATTTCCCCATCTCTGCTCAATTGACGGGGAACAACAACAGAGAGTTCCGTGGGCCTCTGAGATTTGAGCCGATCTGCTTACATTTTTACTGCCGGCTCTCCCTGGAAATTTGAGTTGTTCGGAAACTAATTTATCGGTACGATATATTGTATTTTATATTACAGTTGCTCTGTGTAATTATCAAGCATGCACTTTTTTAAATATGGAAAGCTAGCTGCTGGCTGACGCGAATGAATTATTTCAGTCTAGTGACCTGGTTGAGAGTTAGTTGAGTCAGTGAAAACCAAGATTTGAGGATTAGTCAGTTGAAGTTGTGCGTTCAGAATTATTAATAGCAATGTGATGATAGGGGTGCTATTTTGTCCCTGTGAGATTAAAAGCAGACGGGATTTGTTGATATGTTGTGCATTCGTGTACAAGGGGTATTGCCATTACATTAATGTCTAAATAGAAGTTTATTAAGTAAGTAAAGTAGTTTGACTGTTCCAAAGCAAAAACATTTTAGCAGCTGAAACCGAAATTAAATTTTAATTTTGCAGTGCTCAAAAAGTATTGAGAGACTAGAAAAATTCTGATAGATTTGTGATTTGGATACTGAAAGAGGCGAGATTTAAATTTTATGTTCTTACTTTATTTTTTTTTCGAGTTGCTTGTCTGTCATGTTCTGGTGTTCTAAAATGAGAATATATAGTAACTAGCTGTACAACTATATTTACAACTATATTACCGAAGACTAAAGAGTTTAGGTCAGATATCACAGCCTAGCTGTAAACCACAACACAACGTGCCAACGGCCCTCTCGAGAGCGAACAAAGATTACCCATAACATGACCATTGAGCATCACGTCGCCGCTATCGCAGGCTAGCTGTAAACTCCAAAACGGAAAAAAGGCGTAGATATCGCAGCCTAGCCATAAACCACAATACAACATGCCAGCCGCCCAGTTAAGGGCTAAAATAAAATTATAACACCTAGCTGGGAATCAAACGTGCGTCACCCACATGATAGGCAGAATATTTACAACTACGCTACCAAAGATTCTCCATGGATAGTGGAAATGAAATTATATAGTAATGCAGTATTCAAAAAGAGCTCAGCTGTAAAAAAATGGCCAAACAACTAAAAACAAATCCGGGCCGGCAGCGAAACAAAAAATGATTTGACCGTTTCTGGAGCCAAGTCGTTCGTGGTTTGTGCGATTTTTCTGACAAAAAAAAACAAAAACACGCTTTGAGTTAAATGCAACATTGTGTGAAATTTTGAAAGCAATCAAGTCTATAGTTAACAAACTCAGAAAATTAACATTTTTATTAATATAGATTTATAGTCTCATTTACTCTGTGTAGCGTTATCCTTTTATAGGGTTTTAATTGCGTAGGCAGTGAATAGTGTTCACCGCAAATTGTGTTGCTTTCTCGTGCCCGCATTGCGAGCTATGATCACAAAAATGGGCTTTACGCAATTGACCACTGCGTTTTAACGATTACAAAAACTCAACGCAGTTCATGCCCACATGTCCACTGATCACAGTAAACAACATTTGAGTTTGCTTTTCACATACCTGAGTACAATATTTTATTTACAAACTAATAAAAACGTGCCATCGAATAACCATGAGTTTTTTTTTTTTTGAGACAGTAAAGAATTAATCTGGTATTATATTCTAATTGTTTAAAAAAGAATTTAGAATTAATGCAGTAGAATGCTCTTATTCTTTGAATATAGAATTTTCCCAAAAGTGTGGGAAAAACAAGAATAGACCCACTGCCTGCTCAAAAGCATGTCATAAGAGTCAACTAATTAGGGAGCTTGAAAGGCAAGGAACCAACAGTCTGCATTCAAGTGAATCAGATCTGTAAAATTGATGCACACATAACACTCAGGTTCTGGAGTAAGACTGTAGTTCAGAAGTGGATGAACAGCCAGAACTTTTCGCCAGAGTGTACAGCTGGTGAACAAGAAGAAGAAGAATATTGAATTAATCTGGTAAAATACTCTTATTATTTTAATATAAAATTAATCTGGTAGAATACTCTTATTATTTAAAATATAGAATTAATCTGGTAGAATACTCTTCTTTTTTAACATAGATTAAAAACCTAATGTAACTGATCTACATGGAAGATTTAAGCATATGACCACCAGCCTGGCAAACAACACATGTTTAATGTTACGCACTGTTTCTTTTCCAGCTTTGAAATGTCTGAGGCAAAGTTAATAAGACAAGCTTCGCTGAGCTCAGCGTACATGGATCCTGGTCAAAGGATTAAAGTCCTGGTAGAATATGGTTCACATCTGGAGGTGGACAAGACCTTAGCCCTGAAGCACTACTTCAGGTCCGGCCATGAAATGTTGAGGATGGCAAATATGTATTGTGATGATGGTCAGTTGGAGAGTGCTTTCATTTTATATTACAGATACATCACGTGAGTCTTGTGTTCCTTTCTTTATTTTGTGCGTGTGGGGAGAGAAGGCGAATTATTCTTGCGTTTTAAGTCTTCATTGTTTTCTCCTTCTCTTCCTCTTCTCATCCTCCTCCTTCTGGCCCCCCCCCCCCCCAATTGAACATAGTCCCTCAGTCAGTTTATCACATGTACACAAAATTCAAGATAGGCATATCAGCCATGTGCACCTGTGGAAAGGTGCCCTAGACAGCAGAGCATGTACTCCAGGACTGCACCGAATTTGACACATTAAGGCAAACCTTTTGGCCAGAAAGAACAACAGTGGAACGTAAGCTCTATGAACCACTGAATGAATTAACAACAGTGAAATTTATACAAGAGACAAAATTGCTGATATAGACAACTTATTTCAGACGAACAAAAGAAGAAGAAGAAATCAGTTTATGCCAAATCCTCCTATCCTTTGCCATCATGTTCATCTCACCTTAAGCCCTCCCCACCACTTTAATTCTCTTTTCCATGAATTGTTCGTCCTATTTTTTTCTTCGAATATTTGGGTTCCATTGCAAAGACATTGTTTATGTTGTTGTCAGGTTAATATGTGAATCTGCATCATATAATTATGAAAGAAACAAAATAATTGAATCTGTTAAGGGATTCGAATATCACTGTCCTGTGTAGAGCTGAGTAATGATAGTAATTTAATTTGATATAATTACACATAAAACTTTCTGGTATCCCTTCTCAAGGCCAGTTGATTGTGTGACCATGGGACACACAGGTCAGTTATATAAAAAACCCACCTTGATGTAGATTAAACTCAAGAACTTTGGCCTGGCAAGCAAGCATCTAATCCCTATGCTATGACAGCTCCCTATCATCATGTCCATGCAACATTGTGGTCTTTATTATTTTTCTTCTTTTGTCCTACTACTTACGCTGTAACATGTGACAAAGAGGAGTTAGATGTATAGTTTCCTGTCTTTTGCTACTTGCATCATCATCATGTGCCCTGGCAACTGGCGTAGGCGCTCATGCGTCTCCACAGATCACGATCCCTGGTTGCCTGGAACAGCTCTTTTGATGATATCCCTCCATGCCATCATTTCAACCCATCCAGCATCGTCTCTCTTGGTCTGCCTCTAGCCCTTTTTCCACTAATCTTTCCAGTTGTCACGATATTCTCCAATGTCTCTCTTCTCATTATGTGGCTAAGGAACAGTGTTTGTCTCTTTCTTATTGTTGTGTATAGAGATCTACTTTCATTAACTTCTTTCAAGCAATTGTTGTTAGTTACTCTGGATTTTCAAGGTATTTGTAACATTTGTCTCAGAAACCACATCTCTGTTGCTTCCAAATTCTTCTTAATTTGTTCATTGAAATTCCAAGATTCACTGCCATGCAGCAGAACAGGTTCTATGTAACATTTTAGCACCCTCGTTCTGACATTAAATGAGAGCGATTTATTGCGTAAGATGTTTGCATAGCTTGTGTTAAAGTCATATTGTGTTTTGTAGTGTCTTGTTTACTTCCTTTGTGTATTTTTTCTTGGCCAACCTCTTGCCCTTGTAGCCTGCTGTTTTCATGTTTACTTCCTCTGTGCATATTTTCTTGACCAACCTCTTGCCCTTGTAGCCTGCTGTTGTCATGTTTACTTCCTCTGCATATTTTCTTGGCCAACCTCTTGCCTTGTAGCCTTTGGTTGTCATGTTTACTTCCTCTGTGCATATTTTCTTGGCCAACCTCTTGCCCTTGTAGCCTGCTGTTGTCATGTTTTAGCTGCTAGCTGATTTGATTCCATTCTGACCATATGACCAGACCATTTTATTGTTTGATTTTCTGTGAAACTGTTTACTTGTACTGTGCCTATCATTGTTCCTGGTTCTTCTTGGTGACTCTGTCTCTTCTTGTTTTTCCAGCTTCATTTCTTATGTATCTCATCTCATATGTTTGAATTTTGTATTTATGTTTTTCTTGGACTATCCATGTCTGACATTGATAGCACAAAGTTGGTACATATAGCACATTTATCAGCTGCTTTTTTTTTTGGGGGGGGGGGGGGGGGGGGGGTCTCATTCCTTCATTGTGATTATATAGATCAAGAATCTCTTTTTTCTCGTTCTCTCTCCATAAAGTAAAAAAGGCCCTTTTAACTCCTTGAGACAAGTTGGGCATGTGATGCTTTCTCCATATTTCTATAGATCAGTTAACACTGTATGGGTGATGTTAACATCATGCTAGTTCTGTTTTATTTTCCTTCCTGTACCTCTTTTGGACTGCTGTCTCTGTCTCTTTCTCTCTCTGTCTCTCTCTCTCTCTCTCTGTCTCTGTCTCTCTCTCTCTCTCTCTCTCTCTCTCTCTCTCTCTCTCTCTCTCTCTCTCAGTCTGTGTGTATGTGACTCTGTTAGAATCACATATTTGTTAAAAATCCTCACTAGAAAATGTACTCTGTTTTATTGTTTTTGCCTGAAGGGTGACAAGCTCGTGTATATTTATGTAGTTTTTTTTCTCTGTGCTTTTGACATTAATGTTGAGTTTTTCATATTTTTATTTAATTTTAGCCTTTTTATGGAAAAGCTGCCTGCTCACCCAGAGTTTTCAAGTGATAATCAAGCTGAGATAGCTGAGATTAAAAGAGTAAGTTGTCTGTTAAAGTGAGTTCAAGGAAGTATCATCAGTCCCTCCTGTGCCTAGTGTGACAGTTATTTTCCATTTGTAAATGTATTTAGCCAAGAAGGACATGAATGATGCAGGTATTGAGGTGGACTCATTAGAACAAAATGACATGGACCATGTTGTGTGGAGTGGGTGCATCAGGAGAAGAATGAGAATGAAGGAAGAAATGATTGCAGAAAGGATGAGAGCTGGGCATTTGAGAAGAAACAGACTAAACACAAATGCTGACAACATTGGGCCTGAAATTTCATGCTATAATTATGGAAAACTTGTCTTAATGCGGGCGATTCTTGCTAGTCACACTCGCCATCGCCATGAGCTGTGCTTCCCATACCTCCTCATAGCGCAATATAACATGTTTTGATTAAGCTATGACATTTATCTTGATTTTGTATATAACAGTTCTGAAATTATTTCTTCTAGCTTTTTTTGGGTAAATTTTAGCAACCAAAACCAAATCATCACTATGTTGAATGTTGAATTAAGAATCGACTTCATAACACTCTGGACACCCCCATAAGCGCTTTGTTCCCATCTTCAGCAGCAAGCAAAGAGTTCTAATTCCGATAGCACCAGTAATTGTCTGATCTTTTCCCTGAGTGCCGATTGTCCGCCAGACCCCCATGGTAACTCCCAACGCGCTATTAGCTCCCAAAGGGCCCTCACAACATCCAGCTTGTCATACATCAAATCACCACCAAGTGGTATAATACATATTTACAGCATATTGTAGATTACTGATATTCTGGTCACACATTTTTAATATACTTTTTTTTTTTTAAACAGAGGGTGAAAAAAGTCTTTCCAATTGCAGAAGAAATCAAATCTAAGTTGAAGAAGCGATACACTGAAGAGGAACATGTTTACAAGGAGCAGCAGGTACAGTCTTATGTATTCCTGTCTATCCCCTTATTTTTCTTAATTTGTAATCAGTGGATTTATATCATTTTGACAAGCAGTCCTCAATTATCTCTGATTCTCTTTTGTATTTTGTGAACTGCCCTAGTGCTTTAGAATTTATTAAGTACATTAGAATAGTGTTTGCAAAAATTTGATATTAATTCCAACATATTGAATTGATTTTGATGTTTTTATTAGCGAAAAATATATGAAAGATTTGTTTTAAAAAGGCTAGTATTACATAATTAATTAGTCTTTTTATTTCATATGCAATGTAAAGCTAGTTCTTACTGACATGATTACTTCAAAATACATTTAAAACTGTATTTTAAAATAGAGAGGGAAAAGAGGGGGGAGGGCGGAATACTCCTTAGCTACTGTAAACTGCTGAATGTGCCAATTGGTAGGCAATCAGATTTGTTAAAATATTACAAAGAAGAGAACGGGTTGATATTTGATAAACTGTAGCTAAAGTCATAGACACACCTGAAGTTGATAAAATATATATTTAATTTTGCAGCTTCTTCTTCTTCTTCTTCGATCCTTCTGTCAGACAACTTAAATCAGGAGGCCGGTAGCCTTTATGAAAGCTATCATGGAATCCATATCCTCTCGTGTACCATAGTTTTGTCTTCAGTAATTTTGCAGCAATATCTTTTAAAATCTAGCTAGTGAATTAAATGGGAGAAGATACTTCACAATCTTGTTTTATAATGACATGGAGGTGTACCTGCGCATAAATGACATTTTTTAAAATGTTGTCATTGAAGTATACTTGCACATAACTGACAGTTTTTAAATGTTGACATGGAAGTATACCTGCACATAAATGACATTTTTTTAAATGTTGACATGGAAGAAGCCCGCACATAACTGACAGTTTTTAAATGTTGACATGAAAGTATACCTGCACATAAATGACAGTTTTTTAATGCTGACATGGAAGAAGCCCGCACATAACTGATAGTTTTAAAATGTTGACATGGAAGTATGCCTGCACATAAATGACAGTTTTAAAATGTTGACATGGAAGTATGCCTGCACATAAATGACTGTTTTTTAATGTTGACACGGAAATATACCTGTGCACAAATGACAGTTTTTTAATGTTGACATGGAAGTATGCCTGCATATAAATGGACATATTCTTTTGGTGATCACTATCTATGTTGACAAGATACTTGTTGATGATTAGATTATGAGTTAATAAAAAAACACTTTTAATTTTAATCTCTAATCACAACGTCTAGTTTAAGAATAGAGGTAGAGGCAGTCACTGCTGCCTTCTTCTTGCTTGAGAATCAGCTGTACAAACACGCCGTGATTGTAACTGACTAACAGAGCATGTTGAGAAAGGCAAAGACAGGCATGCTTCATGCTGAGTGACCAGCATCACTTCAGAGATCCCGAGTAGTTAGCATCCTTTAGATATTTTCTCCAGGTCATGCCGGTGTGTTGGGAAGTGAGCCGGCAGATAGACTTGGTGGTGAATTGATGTATGACGAGCTAGATATTGTGAGGGCCCTTTGAGAACAAGTGCATTGTAGTGTTCTAGCCTGTTTAGACACAGTACAACAAACTGCATTTAACATTTTAGAGAAGTGCTGTCTTGTTCAGTGGGCTCTTTCTCACTCCCATCTTTCTCTCCCTCTCTCTTACTCTCCCTCTCTCTTACTTTCCCTCTCTTTTACTCTCCCTCTCTCTTACTCTTTCTTCTCCTTGTCTGTCTCTATTCCTGGATGTCTCCATTCCCTCCCCCACTCTCTTCTTTCTCTATCAGTGCCCTCTATCACACAGTAATAATCATAAGAAACATGGTTCATAGTTTGCTAAAGTATATCTTGAAAACTGGAAAATACTGTTTCTCATGATTTGTTTGTATGAAGTGAGTTTTGTTTATATTATGATCACTGAATAGGTCACATTCTGTACACATACAGGGAAGCAGTAACTAAGCTTTCACAATTAACAACTTACTTTTACCAAATTGTCTTAAATTTAAACATACAATTTAATCTGGAATTTTTATGTTATTTTCCCTCTCAAATGGCAGCGCCGTCTTGCCGCAGAAAGAGCCGCACAAGAGGAAGAAAAGAGGAAAGCTTTGGAAGAGCAGCAGAAGCAGGATGAAGAACTGGCTAGAAGATTGCAAGAAGAAGAAGAAGCAGAAGTCAAAAGTTTGCAGGAAGAAAAATACAGGAAACTTCAAATTCAAGAAGAGGAGAAGCTGAAAAATGAACAGAGAAAGAAACAAGCTGGTAGTTATGTGATTTTTACCTTTTATAGAATTCAAATGTAAAGTAAAAAAAAAAAGTTAAGATCCCTTTTCACGCCTCAGGCGCATCGGGTATATGGGAAGAGCACCCATATTTTTACAGACCAGTCAGCACTAGGTGGGTAATGTGGTCAGCATTATGCCGGCAGTCTTTCCTTTTCTAGGACACGCATCCTGGTACCCATTTTAGGCTGGGTCGACCACGCAGCAAGCAGTGGGTTTCGATCGCGGTACGTTGGAATTACGAGTTGGACTCACAACACCTAAGCCACGGACGCAACATTCACCTAAAGTTGTCTTTTTAATTGTTTCACTCTGTGAAACTCTCTACCTCCTCTCTCTCTCTCTGTCACTTTCTCTCTGTCACTCTCTCTCTCTCTCTCTCTCTCTCTCTGTCTGTCTGTCTCTCTCTCTTTCTGTGGTTCCATGCAAAAACTTAAACTTATGTATGTGTATTATACACAGCAACAAAAAAGGGAGAAAGGAAAAAAAATGCAGCTTCTATTTACTTGCTAATGACATATAAGGTTTAAAAAATGGATCAACATCATGGCACACAGGTAGTAACCCATAAGTATTCCGTTCTACTTCTAACTCAAGCCTGAGTCCGAAGAAGCTCATCACAGTGCACAAACTCCGCAGCACATACAAGGATCCTTGTAGGTAGAATTTTAGCTCAAAATATTTGCCCAGGCAGGGCCGTTAGGCTACTCTTATCGATTTCCAACTGCCAAGAGATTTTTTTTACGTACGCAACAATCCTGTTTTACTACTTAGAGACCAGGGGAAATTACTAAAAGTCCAAGTGAAAAAATCCTAGCCTCGAGACCACGCAGCTTATGACATATGGTTATATAGAATACTTAAACATACTTAATCAGCAATAGTGAGTAATTTGTTCAGCATAAGGATTGGAAGAGACATTTGATTTGGGCCTTGGAGTATTCTACGTAAATTCTGGTATTCATGGCCTCAAATATTCCATCTATCCATCACTTGCATAGGTGACCTCTAGATCTGCTTCTATTGTGTCTAAGTGACAGAAGGCTGTCTGTCATGCACTGTCTTGTGGTAGTTTTGACGTATATCCATCTGTTGTCTTTTGATGTAGTTTAGCACTGGTTCTGTCCCAACTTGTTTCCTGAAGTCTTCATTTCTAATCTAGTCTTTTCTTCTCGGTAACACAATGTTGATTAAAAAAAAAATACTGTCTTGAACAGTGCTCTTTTGATGTCACTTGTTGCATGTCTGTTCTGGAATATTGGTGACATCTGTCCAGTTATTTGATCTGCTTTATTACATCTGTATTCCATCTTTGTTTCCATGTTACTTTGGTAGTAAATAGTAAAAAAGAAAGTAAAAAGTAAAGGTCCCTTTTCCATGCCTTTAGGCTTATACCTATATTTTTTATAGACCAATCGGCACAAGATGGGTGATGTAGTCAGCATCACACCGGCTGCCTTTACTTCCTGCATGGGTACCCCCTCAAGGATAGGTCAATCTTGGAGTCAAGGTCATTTTTGAAGAAAAAAAAAGTCAGGCTACTCATGCGAGCGTCTAGCCGGTAGTAAATATCTTGGGCAAAAATACAATCCTAACCTGCATAGCCTGTGGTGTCATCACTGGACATGTGGCCCTAAATCCCCAGGCACAAATACCCCAGTAATGGGCAGTCTTGTTGTTTCAGTAAATATGTCTGTTGATTATTTTGCTGATTTTTTTTTTAATGACACACACATTCCTTGCTTCTGTGTTGCAGCACATGATGCTGGTGCACCACTTGTTACTCACAATGGTGGCACATTTGACTCAGGGATCTCTGAAGCAGAAACAGCACCGGCAGTAGCCAGTTATGACTTGGACACTACCAGATCTATTTTGCCAGAAGGTACACTTTCTGAAAGGGCTGCCATATTGCCACCACCCTCATACTCTGAGTATCTAAGTGAAATTGCCACCAATCCACCACTGATTCCTGACCGAGAGCTGAAGAAAAAATTGGTAATTAGTGATATAAAGTAAGTTATTTTTTATTACTGCAAACTGATGTTGCATCCATTGCAGGTAATAATTATTCCACACAATGTTTTTTTTTTTTAAATTCAAGTTTTGTAATTTTTTCTTTCATTGTCATCATATCAGGCTGTTTTCTGTTATTCTCTCCACTGTTTTTGTAAATATCTCTCTCTCTCTCTCTCTCTCTCTCTCTCTCTCTCTCTCTCTCTGTCTTCTCTCTCTTGATAATGTTATTGATACAGATTATTACTTTAATTTTGGTGTTTCTTATGAATCCCATCAGGATGTTTTATTTTTTGTCAACTGTCTTTTAGTGTGTGAAATTAGTTTCTTTTGTGTCCCTGTCGTATAAAAAAAAATTACTGTTTATATGGGCCATTTAGGGGGGGTTAAATCCTGTCACATACAGCTTTGTATCTACATCAAAGACATTCTGAATATAGATCTGGAAAACAGAAAGGGAGATATAGAAAATTCATTTAAGAGAAAACCATACAAACCCAGACTCATTGAGGTCCCTGTGAGGTGTTTCACCCAAGGCCAGCAGTTTCAGTTGGCTTCTCTCTTGATGGAAAATGTGAACCAGAAGTTTTTGTCCAATTGAAAATAAGTAAAGTAGAAAAGAATATCTTTTCACACAATAAGGCATATTGCCTATAAGGTGCACTTTGTCTAAATCTTGTAGTGTGTGTGCTGTTTTTTTTAATGCTGTTGATCCATGTTCAAGTTGTGGTCGAACACTTTGTTGATGAACTTTCCCATGTAGCACCCCATGTGGTTCCACTTAGTTTTCTCAGGATAGCTGCCCTCCTGGCTTTTGTTGCTACCTTGTTGATGTGTTTTCTCCATGTTAACCTGTCATCAAATGTGACTCCAAGGTATGTGGGCACTTTATCCTCTCTCACAAGTACTCTGTTGATGTGGATGATGCCTGATTTTTGTTTTGGAGAGAGGGTGAAGAGGGTGGTGCTACATTTGCCAATGTTGATGTTGACACGCCATTTATCAGACCATGCAGCCATTGCATCTATGGCTCTTTGTAGCAGTCTAGTAGCCATTGTTGCATATTCATTTGTTCACCGTAGTACCAAGTCATCAGCATACATGGCAGCTTTAATTCCATGGGGTAGTTCAGAAACTAGATCACTGATATAGACTAGAAAGATTGTGGGGGACAGGACACCACCTTATGGGACACCATGATGCAGCAAAACTTTATTGCTCTTGAGCCCGTAAATCTGTACTCTGGTTCTTCTGTTATACAAGAATGCCATTACCCATTTGTACATATTAGGTGAAATGATGAAAACAACATCCAAATGATTACGAGTATAAACTTTACTAATTAGATAAATTTGATGTGGTTATTATCACTCCATCTGCCTTTACTTCCCAAAAAAATTTCAAAGATAAAAATGTATTTAGAAAACAACATCTAGTAGCATGACCTTCGCAGAATGTGTTATCTTCACTGTACTCCGAACATGTCCATTCGTGCTCAGATCACCCCTTTAGCATAGTTGTATGCATCAGTATCCCAGGTTAATAGTGCCAGTTCTCTACTGGTTGAAAAGACGTCTGGTGTGCCTCTCATGCCTGGTTGTGCCAATCTTTACTTCTAATTCTCTCTAAGGACATTAATAATATCAGCACAGTCCATAAAACGACTAGCTTCAACTAAGTCTGTTAGCTCTTTCATTGCCAACACCACCTGCATACCCTGGGACATAGATGAAGGTAACTCCACACTTACTTAATTCATTAAATATTAAGAAAACAGAAGTAACTGTTATATCAAAGAAGAAGATAATTTCACATTGACTTAACCAAGTCTCTCATTTAATGTCAGAAAGAGGGTGCTAAAATGTTTCATAGAACCTGTTCTGCTGAATGGCAGCGAATCTTGGAATGTCACTGAACAAATTAAGAAGTTTAATTTGGAAGCAACAGAAATATGGTTTCTGAGACGAATGTTACAAATACCTTGGATGGCCAGCGCAACTAACAACGATTGCATGAAAGAGGCAAATGAAAGTAGATCTCTATTTGCAACAATAAGAAAGAGACAAACACTGTTCTTTGGCCACATAATGAGAAGAGAGACATTGGAGAAAATCGTGACAACTGGAAAGATCAGTGGAAAAAGCAGTAGAGGCATATCAAGAGAGATGATGCTGGATAGGCTAAAACGATGGCATGGAGGGATATCATCAAGAGAGCTGTTCTAGTCAACCATGGATCGTGATCTATGGAGATGCATGAGCGCCTATGCCAGTTGGCAGGTCACATGATAATGATGCAATCCACACACACTCACACACACACACACACACACACAAAATTCTTCAGTTATGTTATTTCATTTGGTTGAATTTAATAATGTAATTCCTGATGTCCTAAATCTTTATTTTTCAAAACCTTTAGACTTAACTATTGCTACTCTAAAAAAATTGATCAGCAGGTTCTTTAGAGAACCTTGCCCTCATCACCGCACACACCTGAAAGCTCGTTTTCTCTAGCTAATTCTCCAACCCTGTGTGCTTTCATTGCCAGTGCATCCTCAGTGTGTTGTATCCGCCTTTAAGGAGTTCAGCCTCTGCCTCCTTTTCCAGAAACTGCACCCTCCATGACCGGTTTTCTGGGCTACCATGGCGTTTAACATTGCCAAAATTCTCCGCTTTTGGAACAGGATACTGTTTATGAGCCAGTTCTCCTCAGTTTTCAGATCATGTAAGATGTTGATGTTTTTCTTCTTCTTGGTATTTCTATTCTAAAATTACAACTTCTTCAGGTTAGAAAGTGTTGTAGTAGAAGCTGTTTGGTACTGAAAGAGTTACTTTGTTTCATATGTTTTTCCTAGTGTCCCTCCTATACCCGCTCAAATACCTGCCGTTGACCGCACCAAGAAACCATACCATGATCACCACATGAGCTTGGGCGAGTTTGGTGGAATGAAAGCCGGCCAGCTTAGAACTGTAATAGTTCCATCATCGCTAATGTCAAATTTTCTGTCCGTGGCAGCATTGAATACTTCCAGGGAGGCAGAAACCATGGGTATTCTTTTTGGAAAATTGGTACGTTTTATTGCTGTGTCAATTTGTAAGTAAATTAAAGGATCATTTTCCATACTTTGAGATTTTTTGCTTAATAGCGCTCTTGACAGAGCTCATCAACGAACATTACATCTCCCCGACACTTGGATGAGGTACATGGTGGAAGAGAAGAAGAAGAAGAGATTATCTTGCTAGCGCAATATTTTTATATTAACTGTGAGCAGCTAGGCTTAGCCTTAAATTGAATAAAAAAATAAAAATTATGGTCATCGCCAAGAAGAAATACCAGAGTTCGAAATACTTGCAAATGGCAACATTCTTAAACAGCTGAATTATTACAACTATCTTCGAGCAGTAATGACGTTGGATGCAAGCTGCTTTGCTGAAGTTATTGTCATGGCAAAAGTGGCCTTTAGCAAGATGCAGATACCCAGCAGTAAGGAGATATCAGTTGCAGTGAGAACAATGTGCAAGATGCTAAAGATACCCAGCAGTAAGGAGATATCAGTTGCAGTGAGAACAATGTGCAAGATGCTAAAGATACCCAGCAGTAAGGAGATATCAGTTGCAGTGAGAACAATGTGCAAGATGCTAAAGATACCCAGTAGTAAGGAGATATCAGTTGCAGTGAGAACAATGTGCAAGATGCTAAAGATACACAGCAGTAAGGAGATATCAGTTGCAGTGAGAACAAGTGTGCAAGATGCTAAAGATACCCAGTAGTAGGGAGATATCAGCTGCAATGAGAACAAGTGTGCAAGATGCTAAAGATACCCAGCAGTAAGGAGATATCAGTTGCAGTGAGAACAAGTGTGCAAGATGCTAAAGATACCCAGTAGTAAGGAGATATCAGTTGCAGTGAGAACAAGTGTGCAAGATGCTAAAGATACCCAGTAGTAAGGAGATATCAGTTGCAGTGAGAACAATGTGCAAGATGCTAAAGATACCCACCAGTAAGGAGATATCAGTTGCAGTGAGAACAAGTGTGCAAGATGCTAAAGTTACCCACCAGTAAGGAGATATCAGTTGCAGTGAGAACAATGTGCAAGATGCTAAAGATACCCAGCAGTAAGGAGATATCAGCTGCAGTGAGAACAAGTGTGCAGGATGCTAAAGATACCCACCAATAAGGAGATATCAGTTGCAGTGAGAACAATGTGCAAGATGCTAAAGATACCCAGTAGTAAGGAGATATCAGTTGCAGTGAGAACAAGTGTTAAAGTGCTATATTAAACTTGTGTTGTTATATGCATGTGAGGTATGGAGAATAAGCAGACGTGCTGAAAAACATTTACTTAGAGTGGAAATGTGGTTTTATAGAAAAATGCAAAGACTATAATGGAATGATAGAAAAAACCTGTGCAGTCGACTTTGAGACAGGTGATGGATTAGGGAAATAAGATACAGACCACGACCTGCTCCAGCTGACGGGACGTGCTGCTGACATCATCAGGTCGGGCTAACGATGCATTAACGTAGTGTTTTCGAACTGTTTTAGTATGCCAGGGGTGCAACGGCAATAATCAAGAAAAGTCGGCTAAAAATTTTGAAATTATTAAAGAAGGCCTGTAGATACTTAAAAGTTAAAATTCAAGTTGTCTTCCCTTGCCACTGTCGAAAATAGTTCATTTCTTGTTTTAGAACCGCTGCGTTAACGCATCGTTAGCCCGACCCGGTGTAATCAGCAGCACGGCCCGTCAGCTGCAGCTGGTCGTGTAGAGTCTGTTTTTTTTAAAGACATATCATGAGAAGGAATGGACTCAAGAACTTGATAAGGACCTGTGAAAATGGCGATATAAAGAGCAAGGGGAAGACATAAAGATCAGTACCTGAATGACATGGCCATTTGGATGAGGGGGATAATAAGAACACTGACCTAATCCATGATTGAGAGATGGCAAAACATGACAGCATGAACACTTATCAGAATGTGACTTGGTGATAAGGATGGATGATTTGACCAATATCATGCCTTTGCTTTTCAGAAAATTTTCTGGTAACCGTGTTTTTGGCTGTGTTACCTAGGAACCCAGTGGGGAGCTCAAACATATGACCACTAGGTCGGCCGGCAAGCAAAGTTTTCATTTCCACACCTTCAGGCGTATTGAGCATATAGTGCTAGACCTAAAAAATTTTTTAGACTAGTCGGTGGGTGATATGGTCAATATCATGTCACCGCCTTTACTCCCGATACATTTCCTGGCACCAGTTTAAAGCTGGGAGTCAAGGTCATTTTTGAAAAAAGTCAGACTGGTATTCGGACCTACAGTCTTTGGATCCGCAGGCAAATGTTTGGCCTCTACAGCACAGCAGCTCCCACTGTCAGCTGCTGCTCTAGTTATTTATGTATTAGGTTCTTTGTGCCTGTTACTGTGTTAATGAGAACAGCTGGTCAAGCAACCTAGAACACCGGGTTCTTATTTGGGAGACGGGTTCAAATCTTCAGCAAGGTGATGGATGTTATATAGCATAGTAATCACATTGACAGACCGGTAGAAGCGGCATATTACAATGTGTCTACAGACTGAGAAATAGTTGGCATTTTTATAAGTAAATATGTTCATGTTTTTCAGTCACAAGGTATGTTTATAATTAAATTTTGTCTAGTATGTTCATAATCAAAAACAGTCTTGTATTTCAGAATTATGAAATCAACAAATTAAGTGTTTTAATTACAAAGCATGGTTATTATCAAATGTATGCTTGTACTTTGATCACAAGACATATTTATAATCAAAAAATCTTTATTTTAGTAACAGGGTATATTTGTAATCTTCTTCTTAGCATTCACCAGCTGTAAATTTCTGTGGAAAGTTCTGATTGTTCACAGACTTTTGAAATTGTTTGTTGTCCCAGAACATTGGTTTTGCATGCACATCCATTTTACAGATTGTGCTTATTTGTAAGCAGAATGTTGATTGCTTGTCTCTCTGGCAGATACACTCCCACTTCAAAGGAAACACCCCTAATTAGCCATCTTTTACAGCAGCTTGTTGGGGTTTTGGCCCCAGAAACCACAAGGGTATAACATAACCCTTGATCCATTGGGGTCGTAGAAGTGTATTGATGGAAGCACTGGCACATAAAACCCGCCATCTTTCTCTTGTCTTCCACATGATGAATGAAAATATGATAACTTAGTCCTGTCCATTTCTTGATGTTGTCATTCCATGTTCTTCTTTTCCCTCTTCTTCTTCGACTACCCCCAGTGTTTCTTGAAGCACAGTCTTTGCAATCGAGTCCTGCCACGTGCCCAAACCAACCTAGCTTACAATGTTTATCCACTGCCATTAGAGGCTCTTGATGTCTTGCAAATTTGTATATTTTGTCTCTGACATATTAGTTTAAGGTTCTAAATTACTAATTCATAAAATGCATCTGTAGCATTTACTTTCGAAAGCCTGAATCCTTCTGTCCATTTCCACAGTGAGAGTCCAGCTCTTGTGTTTGTGTAAGAAAATAGACAATGCCAGTGATTTGTATATATTGAAAGTGGTATATTTATAATCCAATACATTCTTGTATTTCAGTCACAAGGGAAGTTTATAATCACAAATTTGTTCATACCACAACAAAAAGGCGGTCATGACAGTTGTGATATGGAGAATGAAGAGGAGCTAATAGTTTACCAGGACGAACAAAACCTAATCACATTAGGCTGGATTCATGTGAGTTTGTTAAGAACTTGTTGGATACAGAAGTTTCATTTCGGTTATATTTAATTCATGTGTCTGGGCATCAGCATTAGTGTTTAAAAATATTTTTTTTTTCATAAAAGTTTTCATACATTGAAATATTTTTTATTAAAATCTTCATTCTTTAAAAACAAAATGTCAGCAGCAACAGTTCACAATATGACAATGGAAACACCAAGAGACAGAGAGATACCTAGACGAAGATGGATTAAAGGAGTCACTGATGCCTAAGACATTCACAACACACCCAGCAATTGACCATGCTACATATGGGCAACCTATCGTCTGTTACGCTGCAATGCCTAGTGATGCAAAGGAGAATATGTGATGGAGAATGTATGTTAATATTAACAGGAAAATGTATGTTAATAATCAACATTGTATTCTATTTCAGACACATCCAACGCAGACTGCTTTCCTTTCCAGTGTTGATCTCCATTCTCATTTTCCCTGGCAAAAGATGATGCCTGAAGCCATTGCTATTGTCTGTTCTCCAAAATATGATGAGTAAGAAAGAGTTTAAACACAGTTCCTTTATTTGGTTCTTTGATCCCTAGTGTTATTTTCAGTGTCATGTTATGGGCCTCTGTTGTTAATTTATTTTTGCAAATCCATTTGACTGGTGTACATGATACAAGGCGACGTCTGTGCCAGGGGTGTTGCGAAAGCATTTCGTAATACTGGGGTGTCGCCTTCGATCCCAGCTGCGGGCCTTGCATTGGTTTCGAACAGTGGTACAGAGAAGCTGACATCAAGAAAGCAGTGGCAAAATACTGGATGTAAATTTGTCTAGAAAAAAACCACAACAGCCAAAAAATGCTTTAAAGGATACGCATCTAACTTTAACACGATACAAGTTTGACGTTATGCCACATCTAATTGGCTGATATAAATAACATTTTTGATGTTGTACAAAATGTCACTTTCCCAGAGAATTCATTAACCAACAGAACTCGCTAACCAGCAAAGGAGATAAACATAAGAAAGAGTAGGGTCAGAGTCTTCGGAGGAAGAAGTGTTCAGACCGTTTGCCTTGTCTCTGAATGGTCAAGGATTTGATTCACAGCTGCCTTGTTCAGTTCACAAGTGAAGTTTATACAGAAATCCCCGGGGATCATCACTGGATCTAGGGAATTTGTGCTTCGTGCAACGCTTTCAGCAGGTAGCTTGCCATTCTGTGGTGAAAGACCAAGCTGTGTAGTAACACCCAGGGCAGTCAAGCTGATCTTCTCAACTAACTTTTTATGAGAAAGGCAGAGTATTTTGATATCGTTAGATTAAATAAAAGTCTATGGAAACCCTTAATGAAGGGATACACTGAGGGGGAAAAAAAGGAAAATAAAAAAACTAGAGGGCATAATAAACAGAAATAAATCAAGATATCATCCTCATCATCATTTCTCTTTATACCTAGTGGTACACGAGGCTTCAGAGAGGACTTTCTATGCTCCCCTGTCCTGTGCAATCTTCAGTGCAGTTTTCCATGTCAGAGATGCCGCGCTCAGGTCACTTTCCATTGTTCATCTCTGTGTTGTTTTTAGGCGCCTCTTTTTTCTCTTTTCTTCTGGTGTCCATGTGAGAGCTGTTTTGGCAGATGTATCAAGATTCATTCTCATAACGTGGCCAAGCCATTTCCATCTTCTCTTGGTTATCATACTGTCTAGAGTTTCTTAGTTTGTGACTTGAAGTAGTTTAGTGTTTGAGATTGTATCTGGCTAGCAAAAAATCAAGATATGGCATTATATAATAGCAGGACTATTCTAACACAAAGCAAAACAGCTTGATGATCAGGACTACGCTGATAATTTTTCTCTTCTGTCCCATTCACGGAATCAGATGCAAGATAAATTAAATATACTTCATGCAAGATCCCAGCAGCTAGGTCTGAAAATCCATAAAGGAAAGACAAAGATAATGAGAATAAATCAGGCAAATAGTAATGTGGTTTCTCTTAATGGCACCCCACTCCAAGACGTGGAGTCGACACCTATTTAGGCAGTAACATAGATGAAGATGGAGGAACTGATAGAGATATTAAAATAAGAATACAAAAGGTAAGAGGTGCTTTCATAGCACTAGGGAATTTGTGGAGGTCAAAAGAAATTAAAAGAAATACTAAACTAAGGATTTTTAATTCTAATGTCAAATCAGTACTTTTGTGTGGGGCGGAAACATGGAGAACAACTAAGGCAATTACTAATAAATTACAGACATTCATTAACTGGTGCCTGTGCAGAAAAGAGGGAATTAAATTTTATGATAGAATAACTACTGAAGAGCTTTGGGAGAGAACTAAACAGGCTCCAATGGACCAAGAGGTGAGGAAAAGACACTGGCGTTGGATAGGGCACACATTGAGAAAACAGGAGAACAGCATAAATAGAATGTCTTTGCATTGGAACCCACAGGGGCATAGGAATAAAGGAAGGCCAAAAAACACATGATAAGAGAGCTGGAGAATGAAGTTAGAAAGATGGGGAGGACATGGGGAGAGCTCCATGTAATGGCGAAGGATAGAACAATTTGGCGTGAGTTAGTTAAGTCCTATGCTCCATTGGGGGATAGAAAGGCAGAAGAAGAAGATTCACCTGTCGACTAGCAGTTTAAAATCTCGCCCCCAGAGACTAGCAAGTGGTCTAGGGATCATTGTCACTTGTATTATGTTAATGATATTTCTATGCTGGGGTCCAGGCCTCTGGCCTGTGACGATCCTCAGTTTCAAAACTTTGGCCCTGGGTAATCTTAGTCGAATAGCAAGGGGGTTGCATGGTATTGAGGCATGGTGACCGCCTCGAGTGCTAGAGGTTCTGGGTTCAATCACCGGGAAGGGCTGGAATTTTTTCATGTGAACTTAAGACTTAATAATTCCCTGTGGTCTCTGGGTAGTTAGTGAGATCGGACGCCTGTGTGTCTTTTTGTGCACATCAAAAAATCCCTTGGCAGTTGAAAATCAAAAAGAGTAGCCTAACGGCGCTGCCTGGGCAAAATTTGGAGTTTAAAATCTGCTCAAAGTATTTCAGGATCCTCGCTGGTGCTACAGGGCCTGTGCTGAGCTTCTTCGGACTCAGACTTGAGTTAGAAGAAGAATAAAGCACTTATGGGTTACTACCTGTGTGTCATGATGTTGATCCGTTGTTTAAACTTCAGTCGAATAGCCCTGGCATACAATCTAACAGAATGTGTGATAAATGCTTGTGACAGAAACAGTAGGAAATCCATTGCTGCCTCCCTACAGATTTGAGCTGGCATTAAATTACGATGATTATAACGTATGGTGTTCCCAGTGCGGCAGTTTTTAGTTGTGAAGTACTGCTGGCATGGTGTGGATTGGGGAACAAAATTGACCTTGGCTGTCAGGTTGACCCAGCCCAAAATGGGTACCAATTAATGTCCTGAGAAATAAAGGAGGCCAGCATGATGTTAACCACATCAGCCATTGAAAACCATTTGGTGTATACAAATATGGGTCTAGCATTATATGCCTGACGTTTGTTTTAGTATCCAGAAGCCATGAGTTGTTAACCCTTAGGCTCGGTATTATGGATATCGCAACCTTTCGGCCTTGATTCCATTGTAAATACGGTAAATCTGGGAGAAAATGTGGCTTTCCTGCCTACCCCCGGGATTGAACCCGGACCACAAGGAGTACGTCACCCGGTCTCCGCGAAATCCGGTTTAGCCAATTCCGCTAGAGAGCCGGGCATGCCTGACGTTTAGACAGAAGAAAGGAAAATGTTACAATAATGCTTCTTGCTGTTTGTGTTTGTCACAGAACTGGAATATTCACACTGACGGATCACGGGCTGGATGTCATTGGTTCTTGTAAACAAAAGGGTTTCCATCCACACAGCAAAGAACCCCCTCTGTTTGAGGTAGGTATTCTCATGGTTATCTGTGTATTCTCATGGTTATCAGTGAGCAGCTGTTTTGGTTTGGGTGTGTTTTGTTTAGAAAATCTTAGCTAAACAGTAATGAAATGTAAATGTCTGTGTAAAGCAGATACTGTTATGTGAATTTAACTTCTTAGCTTCACCTGGTGTAAATTTGGGCAGAAAGTTCTGGTTGTTCGTCCATTTCTGAACTTTGTGATGTGATCAGTTGTATATCTATTTTTATATTATCTTTTGCTTAGGCTTTAGTAGTTAAAAAAGAAAACAACCTTTTTTTTCATGATTGGACAGAAATGACAAACAAATGTAGGGAGGGGGGGGGGGGTTAGAAATATCTATTATCCTCTAAATAACGGCCACATATTATGGTGGCCAAAAACAGGGCCTTAGTCACATGTAAATTGCAGACTTCCGGCTTCTACCGCCGAGAGTATCGTCCACACCCCTGCGTACGGCATGGATTGGGGCTAAACTAGAGGGCTAGGACACACGAGCAAAGCTACAGGAGATGCGGAAGCTGCTGCTTGTGAGTCCCAGCCATCTTGTATGAGATGTTTCTTTGTGCTGAGTATGATTGCCTTATGCTGTAAGAGGGATATTAGCTGTCCTTATATATGGCCTTTATTCAGTCAACTAGTTAATTAATTAATTAATTTATGCATTTGTTTCAGACTTGTGGACACGTGACGATTTCAGAAGGGGAGCCTTTAGTTGTTGAAAATAAATTGAAGCATTAGATTTGCTTGTGTGGTGATTTGTTATTATGTGGTCACTATACTTTATTTTCACATGCATTGTATAAAAAATGATTGTGACCAAATTGAGTGAATGTGGATAACTTATTTAGTTTGACATGAAGAAGTTCTATTTTTCATACTGTTTTGTTTTGTGTATTAATGTTAAAATGTTGTTCTAGAAATAAACTATAAAATGTTAAATTAAGAACAGTTTAAAACTAATACATTGGTGACTAGTTTATTGTTCATATAAATTTGCAGTTTTAAATGAAACGGTTGTAATAATTTATGAATGGAAAAAAGATGGCTAGCATATTGAGGCATAGACGAAGAATACATGTACGGTAGAATGATAAATGACGTATTGAGTTTGGCAGTGTGAAATAATAATTGTGTGAAGAAGAATGATGGCAGTTCTATTAAGAAACAATGAAATAATAATGTGTGCGAAAATGATGGATGGCCCATTGAGTGAGGCACAGTGCAATAATAATGTGTTGGAGAATGATGGCTGACCTGTTAAAATAATACATGTGTGGGAGAATGATAGATAACCCTTTGAGTGAGGCTTAGTTAAATAAATAATACATGTGTGTGGGAGATTGAGCGCTGGCCCAGTAAGTGAGGCACATTGAAATTATGCATGTATGTGGATGTGGGAGATTGATTTCTGGCCTATTGAGTGAGAAACAGTAAAGTAATACATGTGTGTGGGAGATTGAGCGCTGGCCCAGTAAGTGAGGCACTTTGAAATTATGCATGTATGTGGGTGTGAAAGATTGATTGCTGGCCTATTGAGTGAGAAACATTGAAGTAATACATGAGTGTCGGAGATTGATTGCTGGCCTATTGAGTGAGAAACATTGAAGTAATACATGAGTGTGGGAGATTGATTGCTGGCCTATTAAGTGAGAAACATTTAAGTAATACATGTGTGTGTAGGAGATGATTGCTGGCCTATTGAGTGTGAAACATTTAAGTAATACATGTGTGTGGGAGATTGATTGCTGGCCTGGCCTATTGAGTGAGAAACATTTAAGTAATACATGTGTGTGGGAGATTGATTGCTGGCCTATTGAGTGTGAAACATTTAAGTAATACATGTGTGTAGGAGATGATTGCTGGCCTATTGAGTGAGAAACAGGGAAGTAATACATGTGTGTGGGAGATTGATTGCTGGCCTGGCCTATTGAGTGAGGAAAATGAAGTAATACGTGTGTGTGGGAGATTGATTGCTGGCCTATTGAGTGAGGAACAGTGAAGTAATATATGGGTGTGGGAGATTGATTGCTGGCTTATTGAATAAGGAACAGTGAAGTAATACATGTGTGTGGGAGATTGATGGCTGGCCTGTTGAGTGAGGAACAGTGAAGTAATACATGTGCGTGGGAGATTGATTGCTGGCCTATTGAGTGAGGAACAGTGAAAAAATACATGTGCGTGGGAGATTGATGGCTGGCCTGTTGAGTGAGGAACAGTGAAGTAATACATGTGCGTGGGAGATTGATTGCTGGCCTATTGAGTGGGGAACAGTGAAAAAATACATGTGCGTGGGAGATTGATTGCTGGCTTATTGAGTGAGGAACAGTGAAATAATACATGTGCGTGGGATATTGATTGCTGGCCTGTTGAGTGAGGAACAGTGAAGTAATACATGTGTGTGGGAGATTGATTGCTGGCCTGTTGAGTGAGGAACAGTGAAGTAATACATGTGTGTGGGAGATTGATTGCTGGCCTATTGAGTGAGGCACGGTGCAGTTATACATATGTGTGGGAGAGAAAACGATGACTGAAAGATTGGAAATAATAAATGTATGTGGGAGAATGATGGATGGTCTATTGAAGCATTGGAAATCATACATTATGCTGGAGAGTTATGTATGGCTCATCGAGGCGCAGTCCGGTTATAAATGTGAGAATGATGGCTTGCATTTCTAGTTACGGTAAAATAATTATGCATAAGCTGTATGCCAAAGCTCTTCTGTAAATATTGTGGAGCAGTCACTGAGCTTCTGTGATCAGCAGCTGAAATAATGTCATTTTTGGCATCCGACAGAAGCAGGGAAATGTGGCCAGAGAGAGCTGGAAACAGCAGCCAAAATGACTCGTAACACAGACTAAAATAACCCTTTTTCCATGCCTTCAGGTATATTAGACATATAGAGCTAGAACTATATTTATAGATCAGCCAGCACTTTGTGGTCGGCATCTTGATGGCCACCTTTGTTTCCTGTGACCTTTACCTGGTGTACTCACTGAAGGCTGGGTTGACCCGGGAGCCAAGGTCATTTTTGAAAAAGTCTAGCATCGTCCGGATTTGAACCCATGACCTTAGGATCCACATGCGACTTTCTAGCCACTACCCCATCGTGGCTCCAATGACACAGAAAGCTTTATATATATATATATTTGCACATACACACACACATATATATATATATATATATATATATATATATATATATATATATATATATATATATATATATATATATATATATATATATATATATATATATATATATATATATATATATATATATATATATATATATATATATATATATATATATATATATATATATATATATATATATATATATATGTATATATATATATATAGATATATATATGTATATATATATATATGTATATATATATATATATATATATATATATATATATATATATATATATATATATATATATATATATATATATATATATATATATATATATATATATATATATATATATATATATATATATATATATATATATATATATATATTAGGGCTGTACCAAATATTCGCTTCATATTCACTTCGGGGCCGAATAGTGGACCTAATAACTATTCAGTATTCGGCCGAATAGTTGCGGTCGGGCCAAATACGAATAGTGGTTACCTTACCTTTCCCGTTTCTGCATACACTGTGATGGACTGACATAACTTTTCCATTAACACAATAGTTGCTGTTGCCCAAGTATGTCGTAGAGGGAGAAATTGTGACCCGGTTGCATGGTACAAACTGCGTGTGTGTGTGTATGTGTGTGAATGTATGTCTGTGAGAGAGAGAGAGAGAGAGAGATCATGCATTTTTTGTTCTTTCAGGGTGTCTTCGCCCAAATCAAATTTAAAGATATTGCTAACGAGAATATGAAGGTGCGTTTAAATTACATCAAGCGAACGGCCGAGCGAACAATGGTTTTGAAAGAGGCGGGAGCTCGAAGACAACTTATCACAGACATCAAAAGGAGACAGTCATCATTTTTCAGCCATGTTATGAGAAGAGGGAAAATGGAACATTTGGTGACCACTGGAAAGATCTGTGGATGGAGGGATAGAGGAAGACAACGATAGAAGATTCTTGACAGTCTTGTTGCACGGCATAGTGTTGTGTCAGCACACGAACTGATTCATGCTGCAGGAGATAGCAGATTGTGGAGAGGCCCACGCCAGTCGGCAAGGCACCTGATGATGATGATACACTATTCGTAATCGGCCGAATAGTTGGTCCCACTATTCGTATTCGGCCGAATAGTGAAAATCACTATTCGGTACAGCCCTAATATATATATATAAAACGCTAAATATTTATCAGTAATGGTTGAAATAACAGCATATTTTGTACGTTTGACATGTGCATTTACAATGATCTCGCGAAACAGGTTTTTGTGACATGCCTGATTGTTAATTAAAGGTGTATACTATTCATTTGCCTTTGTTTTTTGTGTGTTTTGTTGTTAAAAATCATGTCGTATTACTGGACGACGACCATGGTTGGTGCTTTGCTCCATCATCCTCCTGTTGTTATTTACACATCACATCAGTCTCGCAATCATTTTCTTTCTTCTGTGTATACTCTGCATCTTTTCAATGTCAGTTAACACACACCTTTTATTAGTCGACTTTTACAGTGTTTTTGGTACGGATTAGTGGGCTAAATTCTTCACCCCACATAGTGGCTGCACCAGAAACAGCATAAGAAAACTGGGGTACAAGCGTTAGTTAAGAACTCACAACATATGCTGCATTTTATTACATTAGTTTTTTTCACAGTATGTTGACAGGGTGTGGTAGAAACGAAAGTTATCATGGTCCCTGCACATTAGGCATTTCTTTGCATGCTCAGATCTCTGATGCAGATGTTATGCCAAGGTGCCTCTACTGGTTGTTCCCTTCAGGAGTTGTGTTCCCTTCAGGAGTTGTGCTCCCTTCAGGAGTTGTGTTCCCTTCAGGAGTTATGCTCCCTTCAGGAGTTGTGCTCCCTTCAGGAGTTGTGCTCCTTTCAGGAGTTGTGTTCCCTTCAGGAGTTGTGTTCCCTTCAGGAGTTGTGCTCCCTTCAGGAGTTGTGCTCCCTTCAGGAGTTGTGTTCCCGTCAGGAGTTGGTCCCATCTGGACCCTGATCTATAAAACCACACCTCTGATATAATTTTTTCATTAATTACTGATTTTCCATGATTCCTTTTACCTCAGGACTGGCTGGTTGACTTCACTTGGTTGATATTTTCCTACTAACTCTAATTTCCTTGTGAATTTTCCAACTAATTCTAATTCCCTTGTGATGCTGTAAAGGTCTCTAAGATTTTCTTTCACTGGTACAACGTCTCCCTCCCTTATTCCCCCATGCAAACATAGTCTTTAATCTTTTTCATTTATTCATCTCCTAACTTACTTAATCAGTTTCAGTAAAACTTTGATTGACTGTGACGGATAACTGAACAGACGGATAATATAAATCTCTTAAAACATAATGAACAATCACATTATTTCCTTTTGGGGCGAAAATGAAAAATAAAATCCTTCAAAAGTTAATAAAACATACATATTGTATTTTATTTTCAAAACGATCAATATAAACTTCAATATATGTAGTAATGTATTGAAATATATTTTAATACTATAAACTGATGTTACTTTGAAATAATCTGTCATCTCCTGTATGTAAGGTTTTTATTTGTTGATACTCATGCATTTTTTTAAAAAGGCAATGAGGGAT